TTTTGGATTTCTAATTGTTGTTTTTGTATGATTTCTAGTTGTGAATTTATTTTGACATTTTGTCCCTGCATTATTTTCCTGAATTCTTCCATTTTTTTGTCTGCATTTTCCATGAGTTTTTTTGCCTTTTCCATGAAGTTGTCTATTTTCCCTCAGTTTTGTCTGCTTTTTCTTTCAACTCTTGGATAGCTCTGAATATTAGAGATGTGAATTCCCTATCAGTTAGGGCTAGTGCCTTTTCTTCTACTGGAAAGTCATCTGGTGTTTTATTTTGGACGCCTACTGGAACTATCCTGTCCTGTTTTTTTTAAATGTTTTGATATTGTCTGCTGTCTTTGGGGCATTCAGCAGTTATTTTTCTTGTTTATTGATTGTAGGTTTGTTTGTTTCATCCTCTTTTTGTTTTATTTGGCTGTGTCTGAGCAGGCGGGCTATGCATTCTTTGTTGTTTGCTTGTCTGTGGGCACGATACTTTTCACCTCCTTCTCAAATTGGCAGGGTCAGTCACTCAAATATTGTACAGCAGGGTAGGTCTTAGCTGAAGAGGAGTTGCTGGGAAGAGTTGTTTGTGGCACTTACTACGGCCACCAGGGTAGGCCAATAATCCGTGCAGGGAAGGTGCTGGTAGGCCGTGCCTGGACTGCTTTGTGGTGTGATGTTCAGCACATGGTGCAGGTAGGCAGAATGGAGGGGGGAGATTGTGATGTGTGGAGCTAAGATGGGTACGGGCGAAAAGAGAAAGGAACAGTAGCCAAAAACATACAAACAAAAAAGTGCTAGGGGAGCTTGCCATTGGAGTGGAGAGATGAGAGACTATGAAATGGAGAAAAACAAAAAGGAGAAGAAGAAAAAAAGAAAAGAAAAAAGTGAATAAATAAAATTTAGAAAGATAAAAGAAAATAAAAGCTCCCAGGGATCCCACCGGTGTGGCTGTGAGGTCTGGGGAAGTTGCTCCCAGGCCGTGAAGTACAGCCTGGCTGGAAGGCGTGGAGGTGTCACTCAGCACCAGGTATTCAGGGAACAGGAAGGGAAGGAAACTAGAGAGAGACAAGAAACTGAGTAATGATGAAAGACAAAAAGGGAAAGGAAAACAAAACAAACAAAATTTAAAAAAAGAACAAGAAACCCCCCAAAAAACCTGAAAAAAAACAAGAAGAAAATGCCCTTAGGGATCCCTCTTTGCGTCTGCGCAAACTGAGGGGGTAGGTCCCTAGCCACACAGTACTGTCTGGCTACAACAGGCTCCCAATTCGAGAAAAGAAAAAGAAAACAAAGAAACAATCCAAAACAAACTAAAAGCCCCCAGATCCCTCCAGCATGGCAGCACAGGCCGGGAAGCAGTCTTACATTTGAGCAGCATTTCACAGCTTTTCAGGAAGAAGCAAAGATGGAGCACAGAGCCAGGTATTTGAGAGAAAGGAGGGGGAGATGGTGAGAGGTAAGGAAGAAATCTAAAGAGCGAAAAAAAGCAACACCAGCAGCCAACAAATGGCACTTAAGGAGTTGGCCAGTGAGGGTGGGTGGAATCCAAGCTGCACTGAGTTGAAGCCATTGCTTCCCGTCCAAGCGACTATGGCTGCAGGAAGCAGAGGAGTCAGAGTGGGGGTGAAGAAGGGTGGGGGGTGGGAAAGTGTATATTGCTGGTTACCGGTTGTTCTGTCTCCTGCTGGTAGCTCCATTAAGCTGCTTTCTTGTACCCTCTGTTCACTGGTCTCTGATAGGGGTCCAAGATGGCAAATCCGTGCTGCATTAGTTGATAGGGGGCCTCTGGATGTATGTCTCCTCGTTCTTTGTTCTCTGTCAGTTTTTATTCCATTCAGTGCTTGGCTGAGTTCTTTATCTCTTCATTTGAAGCTTAGGGTTTCAGGATCGCCGTTTTCTGTGTTTGGCTTAGTTTTTCAGATCTTTGCTGTGGAGGGACGGCATGGTGAGTCTGCCTATAGCGTCATGTTGCGCAGAAGTCGGACAGGGCAAATTTGAGCTGGGTTTTGAATAATGAGTAGGAGTTCAATAAGAAGAGATGGGGATAGGAGTTAAGGGGAAAGGGACTCCGGGTAAATAGGAAATGTTTAGTGGTAAAGATTGTGAAACATCACAGCATTTTTAGAAGACTGCAAGTAATTTGGTCTTGTTTGAAGATATTACAGTAGTCTAATCAAGAGGTAGTAAAAGCCTGGCCCTAAGACAAGATAAGTGGGAAAGGAGAATAGGTAACAGATGTAAGAGTGTTTTGCAGAGAGAATCAACAGAACTTGTTGACCAACTGGATAAGTCAAAGCTAACAACCAGATTTCTGACTTCAATGCCTGGATGAACAGTGTTGCCAATCACCACGATAGGGACTATAGTGAGAAGAACAGGTTTAGAGGATGGGGGAAGGTGATAACTTTAATTTTTGGACATGGTAAATTTTGTTTAAATCTTCCTCTTCTAAGGTGGCCTGGCACCAATCAAGTAGTCTGGGACAGGGTTTTCTTATAGGGGATAATTTCCAGAATTGCATGGAGAGCCAAGAGTTGAAGAGACAAACCAAGTCCAAGCATCTATGGCAGGAGATGGCAAACTATGTCCATGGGCCAACTATAGCCCACTGCCTGCTTTTGTAAATAAAGTTTTATTGGAACACAGCCATGTTCATTCATTTAGTATAGTGTAAGACTGCTTTTGTACTACAATGGCAAAGTTGAGTAGTTGTAACTGAGATCATATGACATGCAAAGCCTAAAATATTTACTATCTAGCCATTTATGGGGAAAATTTGGCAACCCATGGTCTAGAAAAAAAGACAAAGGTCAGACACCAAAAATGCCCAACAACAGATATAAATACTAGAGGGTCAAAATCCCTCTCATCCTCTGTAAGAAAATAGATGGATTGGCCAGGCTGGATCTGGGGGTTTCATGGGACCCAAGGTGGGAGCAAGGAGTTTTCACCCAAGGCACCTTGGGATTACCAAACTAGAGAACAAGCTGAGTTGAAAACAGTGTAGGAAATATGAGGGCTAAGCAGAAGCAAGAATTGACTGGAGGTTATCCCAAGTAAAAGAGTGCTAGAGACAGGAATTGAAGCTGAGCCACAGAATCAGATACCTAGAGCCAGGGTCATAAAAAGACGAGAGCAAGCACAAATGCAAGCAAGTTGGGATCAATGGCAATATGCAGTGGAAAGGATGGGTGATTGGAGTAGTGGGAAAGAATGTGGAAATGAGAGTGTGTGTTGAGAGGTGATGAGTGAGGTCTGAGGTGATAGTTAGAATTCCTATTAGCATTAGCAGCTAGGTTTTATGAATCAACTGAAGTGTGATACTTAGGTGGATCAGTCAGATTTAAAGGAATAATGGCAGAACAGACACTCCTTTCCTGGATTAGGGAGACTTTTCCTAGGTTTGTCTAAAGGAAAATTGTGACATATTCTGGAGTGTTTTGTGGTGGCAGGCACGTTCCCACGAGTGCTCTTCTAGCTTATACCCATCCAATTGCACCAAATATTAGAACTGATTAGTGTCAGTGGAAGTCTAACACTTGCTTCACCATGTATTTTGGTATTCATATAGAGTTTCCCAGGCAGGTAGAGAGGCATGGGATGGCTTTAATGGGTAGGGCCTAGCAGGGAGTGGTGGAAGAGAGATTGTAACTATATGGGTGGGAAGCAATTGGAAATTAAAAGGCTAAC